CAGTATTTTACCACTTTTTAGTTGCAAACAATATGACGTCATCACTGATCTAATTTGCATAATAGAAAAATGTCAATATCTCTAAAACGAAAAAAGATAATTCAAAAAGAAAAACTCCATTCTTCTGTATTTTGAAAGGCTTTTCAAATAAGCAGAAATTATTTTTCACATATGTACTTTACTTCACTTAAATTTGTTCTGAAGTCTTCAGTAATCTTTGGAAATCGCCGGAAATTTTCCAAAAACATTTGGAAATGTTCGTCTGGCCTTCGGACAACTTTTGACAAATCTTCTGAAATCTTCAGAAAGTGGTCGGAAATCTTCGGAAAATTGCCTGAAACATTGTTATGTATTGTGAAAATTTCATATAATAAAAGGAAAATTACATGGTTGCTTGGAGATGCAGAATTTCTCTTCTTGTGTTGAAAAATACTTCACTCGTTCACCATGCTCACACGTGAAATATTTTTAAACACTCAGAGAAATTTTGTATCTCCCTGCGGCCATGAAATATCCTCTATATCTTCAATGAACTCACCCAGACTGTTGACATTTCCTACAGCTATAAAAGGTGTATTGATAACAGGTGTTAATGATGTGGATCCTGGAGCTATTGGAACAGTGAGTTGTATTTCATACTTGTGTCTGTGCTGGAGAAAGCCCAAGTGAGCATTAAGTATTGATTCTCCCTTCATACGCAGTTGTATTTCTGTGTTAGCAGTAACATCCTCTGGAAAGTGAACATGATGGCCTGCCAAAAATACAAAACTACATACATCAGACAAACAATGGACCCAGCTCTAAGAGTCTTAAGGTGATTCCTCACATTTGCATTGCGCATCCTTACTGCGCATAATTTATAGCGTCACTAACGCGTGCTCACACATGCACACATTGAAAACATGGCACATTTGCCTCGATACTGAGTTTTGTCAGTTGAAAAATGGCTATAGCTCACCAATGAGCTCAGGCACGCCAATTTTTTTTCCAGTCGTTTTAATCAAATAATCATCAACTTTATGTGAGAAAAGACTGATCTGACTTCTATTGCTGAAAATTGAAGAAGTAAGGAAAATAGCAGCTGCACTGTAGTCTTTTCTATTTTGCAGTTTGATAGCCATGGCAAGCAATTTGGTTCCAATATTTCAACAAGGATTCAGCTGTCTGTCAAAATCAAACGTAAAAAGTTTACTTGTGTCTCACGCAAGTGTTGGCTGTAGTTTGAGGCATGTTTTCATGAGTCTGAGCTCACAAAGATTTTACCATAACTTGGAATGCGTTCTTGTAATAAGCATTAAATAATGCCAAAATGGGACATTTTCAATGCCTCACTCCTCCTTAACGAGCAAGGGCGCCCCCCTTTTTATTTTATAATTAAAGTTCTCTTTAATAAATATTCAGTGGACAAAGTTTGAACAAAAATCTATTGATTGTTTATTCCAGGGGAATAACCTTAAACTTTAATCAAGCTAATTTTTCTGCTCTACATTGTCTTCACAATGTTAATGATGATAACACCACGAGAGGAGATTGCTATTTTGTAGTTCACCAGTTTCTTCTATGGAATATTCATAGAAAGCTGAGCAAAAGGAAGAATTTGAGAGCACCAGAACTGAAATAATCAAACCAAAACTTGATTTCCCAGCCAAAGATATCAACAGAGTTGACCATAACACCAGTGTCGACAAAACAAATCTACAACCAAATCCTTTCAAACCTATTTGGGATGAACTGGATGTGGATAGCAACATACAGTCTGACTTTACCCACAGCCAGAGTAGGGAAGGCAGTAATCTTTTCAGCCTGTACAGCATAAATCAGTACACAACTTTCCAGATATAATCTTGTTGTCCTATGATTATAATTATATGTATGACCTGCTAGTGGAGTTTCAACATGTCTCTGTCTATTTGTATTTTTATTCTCCCAGATCTCAGCATAATGCTAACTGTTAGAGCCAAGTTTAAAATAATTATTTAACACAGACTTGTTTACTTGTTGCATCCTGCATTGACCTTTTAATGTAGTTTGTCAATCAAATCGTGCAATTGATAAGAACATTAAACATAGAGAAAAACTGTTTGTGTAATATCAGATCATTCAAGAACTGTTCACTCCACTTTAAATATCCTTTACTTTGGGGTAGCTTAGTGTTAACTTAATTGCTAGTTCTAAATTATGGTTGTTTCAAGTTAAACCAGAAGTAAAAACATGTACATGCATTTGGGGCATTGAGGACTTATTTTTTCTAAGCTAATAGATACTAAAACATAAATACTTCAAATGGTATTCAGATCATGAAACAGAGTTGCCTGTCAAAACTTATAATTCATTCACCCAATGAGCTGTTGTGATATTTAGAGGATCTTACATGACCATGCAAAGATATGAATTTTATCTTCAAGTGCTGATGGTACTTCCCATGGGTGAGTGCAGCAGATGATTGAGAGATAACATCATCACAAGAAGATAACATTTGTATCCCTAAGCAGCCATGTAATGTTCTGTGTGCTAAATGGATATTGATGAAATATCCAAATCTAAGACATCTTGCATGACCTTGCATGTGAAAGGGATGCTCAAATATTATTGGCTGACATGTGCCTTACAATGATGACATCAATATCCAGGGCTCACATATGAAATATAAATTATAGTATATGTACATCCTCAAATTTTGGGTACCAGAAAAAAAATCCCAGTATGTCATCAACATCTAAATAATGAAATAAATTAGCTTACCGTAAGTTATACCTGTTGTGACAGCCGCAACTATTTAAAGTAACTTTAATTAGCTTAATTGAGCTTAAGTAGGCTTTTTAATTATTTTTAATTCGTTGCACATCATGACCATTTCTTGAACTATGAAATTTGTTGCAATTCGCTGGTCATTTCCAAAAGGGCATTTTTCGCTCACGCCATGATCAAAACAGAATTAATTATTTACGAAAACGAAATCCAGCTGCATGGAATTCTCAAATTTCAATGCCTCAGGTACTCATGAAAGTCCAGCTCCTTATTATTTTAGTTATGAGCGAAGAATTTAGAGTTAATTCATAGTACTCTAATAAAACGACAAAATGGTAATTTTTCGAATTAGTAAGCCCAATGTTTATAAGCTAAGCTACAGTAAAGGTGGTTCAATATCAAGTGTTCTCGAACTGATCGGAACCGGCGCCATTGGACTCCCCATGCTGTAAAATGGTTGCCATGCAAAAGAGACGTTCTACATTCAATGAATTAATTCAGAAAGTGCTAAGTCATTGAAAAAGAATAAAGGAGTTACAAAATGAGACTTTCAGCGAGAGAAAACAATGAACTACCGGTAATTTGTTTATTAATTGCTTTCCGTGCCCAGCTGGCAAAGGCACAGCTTTCAAATTACACTCCCTTCAAATTTAAACAAGATTTTCAAGCCCTTAAACACTTAAAATAACATAACAACACATGTCTACACACTCACCATCTTCAGTATCCTCCTCCTCGTGCAACACGGCGTGGTTATTCAACTCTGCCATTTCGTGTCAATGCGGAGAAAAAGGCTATTGGCGAGGAAAGAAGAAGCAAGTCCGAGAGTTTCCAGAGATGATCAAAAAACAAACTCTTCGGGGATAGGGTAAGTCGATTTCTTATCTCGCTTAAAACGGCGCCTTTCCAAACCTAAAAACACAAAACAAGTATTCTCACTTCTCGTTGTTAGTATTTATCTTGCTGAAGATGCAAGAGTGCTCAAGTCTGGGTCATATGCGTGAGTCTCCGTGAGTTCTTGACCCAAACTTGTCAAACTTGAACCTGCCTGCCCCGGCGCTGTCCCACCGCAGGAGATGGGAGTGTGTTTGCCTCTGCCCTCCCTGGTCAAATTTATCATTGGCCATCTAGATGGGTGGTCGCTAAGTTAAGCAGTCGAAGCGTGATAGTTTTGTAGTTTTGCTGGTTTTGTTGAGTTTTGCTGTGATTGAAAAGTCTGTCTAATCTTCCAAAAGGATCCTTTTACATCTAGTAACGCACAACTTGATTCTTTTAAGGTCCACTTATGTTCTTACCAAACCTGAGAGAAGATGCAACACGATGAGGCCAGTTGATGAGTTGTTTTTAAAACGCACGTGGTTCATACTTCTGTTGTCCGAAATATTTTGTAATGATCAGCTTTGTAAACTTTACGAACTAGGATTGTAACAAGTGGTTAACATTATTTCTACGTCTTCAGGTAATATGGCAAGTAATAAATCAAGGCTTCTGTTCCTTCAAAGTCAAGTAAGTATTCTGCAGGGGGGACCATAACCACACTTATGTCTTGGGTTGTTGAGCTTCAGTGCAAAATCTGTTACCGATGTTTGCTCTATTTTCGTCTTAACTTTCTCAAGTCATAATATTGCCATTAATCAGTCATACTTGCCCAAGAACATCCAATGTACAAGGGTTAGATCTCATAAAAAGGTCTCATAAAGCAACAAGTACAAGATAGTTCATGTTTGTGTTTCAGAACTGCGACTCAGACATTTTGTCGAAATGAATATAATGTGACTGGCTTGTGCAACAGACAGTCTTGCCCACTGGCAAACAGTAGATATGCTACAGTTAAAGAGAAGGATGGTGAGTGAATAGAAAATAAAAGAATAGGGAACTACATGAAAGTTAAGAAATGATTTGTAACTTCCAGTGTACTTATGTAACTTCCTTGTTATAGCCTGCANCAAGAACCTGATATACTGGCCGAACTTTAGTATACATAAATGCAAGCAGAGATATACCAAAATAGTCCAGGTAAAAGGTTATGTGAAATGCACAATGCACATGGTTCTAAGAATGTTCCATTAAGACAGTACAGTAAAAACTGGATTGATTTAAGATGTCAGATGGGGTTGACAGGCATGCATGATTACAAGTTTTAGGCAGATTGAAGTTGTTTGATTGTGGTCCAGAAAAATGTTTATAGGTCAATTAGGTCTGGCACTGATTAGAGTTTTAAGATTCAGTTTTTCTTGTAAAATTTTAAACTGAAGTCATAGTATTTTAAATGGATATTAGGATAAAAAAACAGGGAAAACCAAGGTGTGCTTTTTTGTAATGCTCTTTTCTGTTTACTTTTTCAGTACTTGATAAGGATGCGGAAACTTAGACTTAAAACAAGGTAGGAAAAAACATGGTAGCTATGGGAGTGTTACTATAATGTGTGTTAAGGCAAAGCACACTTGGTTACTTCAAAAAAGATACACTGACACATTTTTCAGTCTATTCTTTTTCGATAGCCTTAGTTATATTTTCACAAATATATATTTTTTTTCAGTAAAAAACTTGTGACAGTAAACAAGAAGGTTGAGAGAAGAGAAAAAACAAGAGAGGTCAGTGATCTTGGTTTCTATTTATTTATTCAACCATCTACATGTACACTGGCCTTTTATATTTAAGAATTAATGTACCCACAGAGCTAATTTTGGTTTGCATTTTTTCTTTTAGAGAAAAGCTTTAGTAGCTGCCCAGCTAGAAAATGCCATTGAGAAAGAATTGCTTGAGAGACTCAAGAAAGGAACAGTGAGTGTTACTATGACAAAAATGATTATTTTTATATCATTCCAATAATTATTAGTCTGTGATTATTACCTTAGGTACATGTAAAGTCTACATTTGAGACACAGTGCTTACCTGTGATTTCCATTGCATGAAGCAACTAGAAGTATTTAGAACTACTGCTCCCCCCGGTTGGGACGCAAGTCTATCACAGAGTATTCCCCAGCTTTAAATTTGCAGTGTACATGCAGGTTACCCATTTATACAGCTGGGTGGAGGGTCAGTACTATGGGAGTAAAATGTCCTGTCCAAGAGGGAAACCGGCAACACGATGACTCTGGCCAGGGCTTCACCTTGAGCACTCAATACAACGTCCTCTACAAGTGCATGCATGCTAGACTATCAATAGTGTCCATTTCTCAAAAACATTGTCAAAATATATGATGGGTGAGTGCCAAACACTTGGCAAAACCACAGGCTGCTAGCTTAAAGTTCCCCAAGCATGTCCTTGATACACTCATCATTCACTAAGTTTGCATTTATGCAGCTGCTCAGTTACAAAAAACAAACTACCATTGATTGCAGTCTAGTTCTGTGCCTGAAGTTATAATTTTTTTTTATTATCACTAATACAGTTAGTAAATATTCTTTATTGCTGTTGTAATTTTTTTTGTAGTATGGAGACATTTACAACATTCCTAGCACTGCATTTGAGAATGCTCTGGACAAAGAAGAAATAGAGGACGAGGAAGAAGAAGAGGAACTAGAAGAGGAGGAAGATGAGGTATTACCATAGATTAGTTTACAAGTGTTTAGAAGTGTTTGGTTGTTTCCTATTTGGCACGTGTATTGTATGGTAAGGACTGTTACCAGCGCTGGTGGAAACAGTGAGCACTGTTTGCTGTAGGAGAGTTCCAGAGTGATGGGGTGCCAAGTTACCAAAGATTATTTGCAATGCGAAAAATAGTTTATTTCTTGAGATGAAAATAGGCAACATCAAATGAATGTGGGAAAAGAAATATGGTTATTAAGGATTATAGTTTATAATTTTTTTTTGCTAACAGGAGGAAGAGCCTGAATTTGTGGCTGAAGATGAAGTGGATGTTAGCGATTTGAGTGATATTGAGGTGAGCTTTGATTTATGTCACTCACTAAAGAGTTTAAGAACAGATGCTTTTGATAGACAGACATGAACTGGAAGTCAAATTTTCTCTTCTTTGTGGAGTATTACTGACCTTTTATTAAGAGCGTCATGTTGTAAATGCCAAGATGTATGTCTAGTTCCCAGTCGCCCACACAACAGTAAAAAATATAATGATTAACTAGTGAAGAGGGGCACGGAATCATGGGAAGGAGAGGCCTCACTTGCTGCTGGCTCCCACTTGTGCCTTTTGCTCACTCCCAGTCTCCCAATCACTCTTTGCGCTAAGAAAAAAATAAGAAAAGCGATGGAGGAGGCAGCCAAGATGAGATCTCTCCAATTAACAGGTGGTGCGTAAATTTGTACTAAAAGCAAGAACATATTAAATTTCTGACTAATCTTCTTGGTTTAAAAACTTCTGTGCATAAACTCTCTATTTAGCTTTAATTAATTGCTAATTTCTTTTAAAGATAAAATTTGGTTACACCATCAAATCCAGTTGAGAGGCTACATTCTGCTAACAAAACATTTGCGGGGTCCTAAATGGGACCTAATATTGGGGTCCTAAAGGTTTTCAGATACATGATTGATGTAATTAAGATGTGATTTGTTTTGTCTTCTGGTAACCTCAAATTTAATGTAAAATTATTGTTTTCAGGATCTACAAGTAGAGGCAGGTGAACAAGAAACAGAAAGTGAAGTTGAGGAGGAAGAGGAGCGAGAAAAAACATCTCAAAGACATGCAGGAAGAAAAGCAAGAGTAGAAATTGAATATGAACAAGAAAGAGAGCCTAAAAGATCGAAATTAAAAGTGTAATACCAGCAGTTATAATCTTTGTTAATCTGAATTTCAAGAGGACACATGGAAAGATTATGCCTTTTTGGGAACTTGCAGGTCCACCTGCTTTTGCTCTGATGAGAAGCCGAAAGAGTTTATTTCCAAGCTGATGTGTCATTGACATTGAACATTACAGGCATGCAATTCGTGCAGAACACTGCTGATGCTAGACTGTCAATACATATGAGTTGGTCAACACTCTGCCAACTGTTGACCAACTGTCGATTGAAAGTCAATTGAGATGTTGATAAAGTGTCAATCTATTGTCAACCGAGTATTGATCAAGATTTTGATATGAGTGTTTATCTAGATGACGATGGATTGGTGATCGAGGGTCGATTAAGGGTATTGATCGACACTTGACAGTGGATGCCTTTAGTACACATGATCTGTCTTCTCTATACCGTTTTTGAAAACAAATTCAGATATATAGATCACACAAGAAAAGCTGATCATCTCTGATCTGTATACTATCTTTCAAGGTCAATGTTATTTAAGAAAATGTCAGTGAAGTTTGTATTTCGACCTTGAAAGAAGTAACGTGTTATGGTAAGAAAAGAACAAACATATTATACGGTGGTCACATGATGGATTAGAGGGAAAGAACAAAATTTTAGAGTTTTTCAAATTATGGAGGGGCTGCCTTATGTCATGGCTGCGGTGGATAAAATAGGCACAAAATTTGACCCCTATATTAGCTAAATGGCTGATTAGGATACATTTTCTCCTTAAGTTATCAATATATACTGAGTTATGCAGGTCATAAGAATAATTAAGGCAGTTTATTTACCACAGAGAAATAATATTAGGTAGACCAAAGGCTAGTAATGCATACACAATGGGTGACAAAAGTAGTTGAGACACTTTCGGGAAATGACGCTTTTCAATATTTAAGCACTTGTGCTATTTTATTTGCATCTAGCATTAGTTCTCTGATACCCCTGGCCCCCCAATTCAATGTTGTGTAGGTGCTGTGGTCTGTGCGGTCTAAGAAGTAGAGAAATCAACACTGTTTGCAGGGGAAGGGGGGAAATGTGTCCAAGACACCCAAAAATCCAATTTAACTGCCAAGTCTCTCAAAATTTTTGTCGCTCGTTACAGGTACAGGTAGCTATGTTGCTGTAGTACTTTGCACACATTGCAGGCCTACAGTACAAGGTCATGCAATGTGTACAGGAGGCTATGTGTCTGTACCCATTTGCATGCACAATTTACAGGCATACAGTAACTAATGCTCTGTCACATTGCATACCTGCAAATGCTGTTACCAATTAGGTCAGCAATGCATGCAAAGGACAACATCAGCAAAGCTTGCTGTCAGCGTTACATACAAGTAATGCTATTGCCAATTACCGTAGTTTGGTAATTTTTGCAAAGGAATACAGTTTCATAGCCTTCTGTATGCACTGCATACCTATAACACTATCTTGTGCCATAGGCCTGTAATATGTGCAAAGGACTACAGCTTCATGGCCCTCTGTCTGCATTGTGAACCTATAACACCATCACCTTGTACCATAAGCCTGCAATGAATGTAACAGGACAGCTCTACAGTGAAACCTGCATAAAGTGGACACCCTTGGTACCGTCATTAATGTCTGCTTAATACAGGGTGAACGCTCTAAGCAGGGTCTAACATATTGTGCAATAATAGTTAATTATTAACCATTTTGTAACACAGTGTAACATAGTGGAAGATCAAAGACTGCTCATAGCACAATGTCCAGTCAGTCAACGCATCAGTGCATCAATCCGGAATATTTAAATGACATCTCTGAACAGTGTTAAAGGAGTCTGAGCTGAGTTTTCAGAAGTAAGAAGCCCTTGAATTGTCCACTTATTGCATATTTTGTGCAACAAAATGGGATAATATTGATGTCCATATCCACTTAACAGGGGTGTCTGCTGAATGCAGGCTTATTTTACAGTAAATGTCGGAGGAAAATTTTGGGACTCAAGCTGGTGTCCACTTAATAGATGGTGTCTGCTTAATATGCATCTGTTCAGTAATTGATCACAGATGACTTTGAAATGTGTTAAGGACATCAGTAACCCACTGGGCTATAGAATCATGTGCCACTTTTTATAGAAAATTAAATAGACAATGAAAGAGAAGTTGGTTTGTGAACATGTTGCCTTGGAAGAGTCACTACATGTTCCATGTCACGTTTCCTGTTCAAGAAGCCATGCAAGTAAATCAAGAAAGAAAGGCATCACGTTCAGTTCCAATAGAGTTTATTTATTTTATTACTTCTACTGCCATTAACCCTTTCACTCCGAAGTTTAACCCCCAGGCAATGCCATGCAGTTATAAGTTTTGAATGAACCCCTAATGTGCAACTATTCAAATGAAGCAGTACTTCCATGTTGTGCTCTTTAAGATAAATTTAGCTTGTTCAACTTTGAATGGAAGTGCTTTTGGGAGTGAAAGAGTCGGAAAATAAATCAGAGTTCATTTGTGATAATTTTATTGTGTGGCAAGGGTTCAGCACAATATAACATGTTACTGACAGCAAATCAGACTCTATAAAAGGGTGCTACCACTACTTAATCAAGAACAACAAAAATACACAACTACAGGGAAATTATAAACACTACATACATGTAACTGGAGTTTACAAAAATAAAACTGTACATAAAACATTTTTCGTTGAACTGTACATTTTATATTGGACACCTCTTGATTAATAAATTTAGACTGCAGTTCTGTTGCAGAATGCTGATGAAACTCACTCAATGTTATGAATAGTTTATTGCAGAAAACACACACTGAGTTCATGTTCCAAACACAAAGTGGTCTTAGCAGTCTAGACAACGGAGTTCACACTCACTGAGAAACATCAAAGGAAAAATTTATCTTGGTGATAAAAAGATTGCTATTCACAAAGCAAATCAAAGTAAACCATGAGTTAATGACTGCTCAAAATTTCTACAGCAAATGTGGCCACTATCTAGCACATTTCATTGTAAAATAGACTTGGCTTGTTCATGAACAAACCAATGTTTATACAACATTGTGGCTGTTTAGCATATTCTTACTTATGACTACTTTAACCCTTTAGTCAAGTAGCTAGGTGCAATTATAACTATTAATTTAAATACTTCCGTTACTGATAGAGAAAATAATGGCAATGGACAATATGTTTACCCCATAATGTTGTCACTATCTAGCATATTACATTTTATACACCTAAGTCCCTGCAGCTTTATATGCTATTGCCTTACGAGCAGAGCCTCAATTCAGAAAAGCACCTGTACAGAAATGAGAGTATTTTCTCACTTTTGGGTGTGTGACCATTAAACAGGTTTGTTTGTGGCTCTGTTTGCAAGGTATTTTCCTAATGGTAATTACATGAATGAGGCTAAACCCCTTTGAATTAACTATTACTGAATGTCTGTGATATTGGCAAGTTGTAAAAGGTAGCATGAGTTTCTTACAATATAGGGTTAAAGCAGTACAGTAGGATCCCACCTAAAGGTAAAGCCACCTCATTAATTGGTAATCACCACTGTGTTTTTTGCCTTAAAATCAATGTTGTGAGGTGGCCAACCTTATGAAATTGACTACTCTGTTAACACTAGACTGCAAGCAGCAAGTCTTTTTTCTCTCAGATCCAGGGCTCAAAATAATTTTCTATAAGACTGCACTAAAGCTGAGGAAAATGACGAGGACTGTTCAAAGTCTAGTGAATAACATGAAATTGAAGGATATTTTGAGCAACAGCTGTTTTTTGAGGACACAAACTCCTTAACAACAGGACACAGCTATTCAGTTTTTACCNGCAAGTCTATCACAGAGTATTCCCCAGCTTTAAATTTGCAGTGTACATGCAGGTTACCCATTTATACAGCTGGGTGGAGGGTCAGTACTATGGGAGTAAAATGTCCTGTCCAAGAGGGAAACCGGCAACACGATGACTCTGGCCAGGGCTTCACCTTGAGCACTCAATACAACGTCCTCTACAAGTGCATGCATGCTAGACTATCAATAGTGTCCATTTCTCAAAAACATTGTCAAAATATATGATGGGTGAGTGCCAAACACTTGGCAAAACCACAGGCTGCTAGCTTAAAGTTCCCCAAGCATGTCCTTGATACACTCATCATTCACTAAGTTTGCATTTATGCAGCTGCTCAGTTACAAAAAACAAACTACCATTGATTGCAGTCTAGTTCTGTGCCTGAAGTTATAATTTTTTTTTATTATCACTAATACAGTTAGTAAATATTCTTTATTGCTGTTGTAATTTTTTTTGTAGTATGGAGACATTTACAACATTCCTAGCACTGCATTTGAGAATGCTCTGGACAAAGAAGAAATAGAGGACGAGGAAGAAGAAGAGGAACTAGAAGAGGAGGAAGATGAGGTATTACCATAGATTAGTTTACAAGTGTTTAGAAGTGTTTGGTTGTTTCCTATTTGGCACGTGTATTGTATGGTAAGGACTGTTACCAGCGCTGGTGGAAACAGTGAGCACTGTTTGCTGTAGGAGAGTTCCAGAGTGATGGGGTGCCAAGTTACCAAAGATTATTTGCAATGCGAAAAATAGTTTATTTCTTGAGATGAAAATAGGCAACATCAAATGAATGTGGGAAAAGAAATATGGTTATTAAGGATTATAGTTTATAATTTTTTTTTGCTAACAGGAGGAAGAGCCTGAATTTGTGGCTGAAGATGAAGTGGATGTTAGCGATTTGAGTGATATTGAGGTGAGCTTTGATTTATGTCACTCACTAAAGAGTTTAAGAACAGATGCTTTTGATAGACAGACATGAACTGGAAGTCAAATTTTCTCTTCTTTGTGGAGTATTACTGACCTTTTATTAAGAGCGTCATGTTGTAAATGCCAAGATGAATGTCTAGTTCTCAGTCGCCCACACAACAGTAAAAAATATAATGATTAACTAGTGAAGAGGGGCACGGAATCATGGGAAGGAGAGGCCTCACTTGCTGCTGGCTCCCACTTGTGCCTCTTGCTCACTCCCAGTCTCCCAATCACTCTTTGCGCTAAGAAAAAAATAAGAAAAGCGATGGAGGAGGCAGCCAAGATGAGATCTCTCCAATTAACAGGTGGTGCGTAAATTTGTACTAAAAGCAAGAACATATTAAATTTCTGACTAATCTTCTTGGTTTAAAAACTTCTGTGCATAAACTCTCTATTTAGCTTTAATTAATTGCTAATTTCTTTTAAAGATAAAATTTGGTTACACCATCAAATCCAGTTGAGAGGCTACATTCTGCTAACAAAACATTTGTGGGGTCCTAAATGGGACCTAATATTGGGGTCCTAAAGGTTTTCAGATACATGATTGATGTAATTAAGATGTGATTTGTTTTGTCTTCTGGTAACCTCAAATTTAATGTAAAATTATTGTTTTCAGGATCTACAAGTAGAGGCAGGTGAACAAGAAACAGAAAGTGAAGTTGAGGAGGAAGAGGAGCGAGAAAAAACATCTCAAAGACATGCAGGAAGAAAAGCAAGAGTAGAAATTGAATATGAACAAGAAAGAGAGCCTAAAAGATCGAAATTAAAAGTGTAATACCAGCAGTTATAATCTTTGTTAATCTGAATTTCAAGAGGACACATGGAAAGATTATGCCTTTTTGGGAACTTGCAGGTCCACCTGCTTTTGCTCTGATGAGAAGCCGAAAGAGTTTATTTCCAAGCTGATGTGTCATTGACATTGAACATTACAGGCATGCAATTCGTGCAGAACACTGCTGATGCTAGACTGTCAATACATATGAGTTGGTCAACACTCTGCCAACTGTTGACCAACTGTCGATTGAAAGTCAATTGAGATGTTGATAAAGTGTCAATCTATTGTCAACCGAGTATTGATCAAGATTTTGATATGAGTGTTTATCTAGATGACGATGGATTGGTGATCGAGGGTCGATTAAGGGTATTGATCGACACTTGACAGTGGATGCCTTTAGTACACATGATCTGTCTTCTCTATACCGTTTTTGAAAACAAATTCAGATATATAGATCACACAAGAAAAGCTGATCATCTCTGATCTGTATACTATCTTTCAAGGTCAATGTTATTTAAGAAAATGTCAGTGAAGTTTGTATTTCGACCTTGAAAGAAGTAACGTGTTATGGTAAGAAAAGAACAAACATATTATACGGTGGTCACATGATGGATTAGAGGGAAAGAACAAAATTTTAGAGTTTTTCAAATTATGGAGGGGCTGCCTTATGTCATGGCTGCGGTGGATAAAATAGGCACAAAATTTGACCCCTATATTAGCTAAATGGCTGATTAGGATACATTTTCTCCTTAAGTTATCAATATATACTGAGTTATGCAGGTCATAAGAATAATTAAGGCAGTTTATTTACCACAGAGAAATAATATTAGGTAGACCAAAGGCTAGTAATGCATACACAATGGGTGACAAAAGTAGTTGAGACACTTTCGGGAAATGACGCTTTTCAATATTTAAGCACTTGTGCTATTTTATTTGCATCTAGCATTAGTTCTCTGATACCCCTGGCCCCCCAATTCAATGTTGTGTAGGTGCTGTGGTCTGTGCGGTCTAAGAAGTAGAGAAATCAACACTGTTTGCAGGGGAAGGGGGGAAATGTGTCCAAGACACCCAAAAATCCAATTTAACTGCCAAGTCTCTCAAAATTTTTGTCGCTCGTTACAGGTACAGGTAGCTATGTTGCTGTAGTACTTTGCACACATTGCAGGCCTACAGTACAAGGTCATGCAATGTGTACAGGAGGCTATGTGTCTGTACCCATTTGCATGCACAATTTACAGGCATACAGTAACTAATGCTCTGTCACATTGCATACCTGCAAATGCTGTTACCAATTAGGTCAGCAATGCATGCAAAGGACAACATCAGCAAAGCTTGCTGTCAGCGTTACATACAAGTAATGCTATTGCCAATTACCGTAGTTTGGTAATTTTTGCAAAGGAATACAGTTTCATAGCCTTCTGTATGCACTGCATACCTATAACACTATCTTGTGCCATAGGCCTGTAATATGTGCAAAGGACTACAGCTTCATGGCCCTCTGTCTGCATTGTGAACCTATAACACCATCACCTTGTACCATAAGCCTGCAATGAATGTAACAGGACAGCTCTACAGTGAAACCTGCATAAAGTGGACACCCTTGGTACCGTCATTAATGTCTGCTTAATACAGGGTGAACGCTCTAAGCAGGGTCTAACATATTGTGCAATAATAGTTAATTATTAACCATTTTGTAACACAGTGTAACATAGTGGAAGATCAAAGACTGCTCATAGCACAATGTCCAGTCAGTCAACGCATCAGTGCATCAATCCGGAATATTTAAATGACATCTCTGAACAGTGTTAAAGGAGTCTGAGCTGAGTTTTCAGAAGTAAGAAGCCCTTGAATTGTCCACTTATTGCATATTTTGTGCAACAAAATGGGATAATATTGATGTCCATATCCACTTAACAGGGGTGTCTGCTGAATGCAGGCTTATTTTACAGTAAATGTCGGAGGAAAATTTTGGGACTCAAGCTGGTGTCCACTTAATAGATGGTGTCTGCTTAATATGCATCTGTTCAGTAATTGATCACAGATGACTTTGAAATGTGTTAAGGACATCAGTAACCCACTGGGCTATAGAATCATGTGCCACTTTTTATAGAAAATTAAATAGACAATGAAAGAGAAGTTGGTTTGTGAACATGTTGCCTTGGAAGAGTCACTACATGTTCCATGTCACGTTTCCTGTTCAAGAAGCCATGCAAGTAAATCAAGAAAGAAAGGCATCACGTTCAGTTCCAATAGAGTTTATTTATTTTATTACTTCTACTGCCATTAACCCTTTCACTCCGAAGTTTAACCCCCAGGCAATGCCATGCAGTTATAAGTTTTGAATGAACCCCTAATGTGCAACTATTCAAATGAAGCAGTACTTCCATGTTGTGCTCTTTAAGATAAATTTAGCTTGTTCAACTTTGAATGGAAGTGCTTTTGGGAGTGAAAGAGTCGGAAAATAAATCAGAGTTCATTTGTGATAATTTTATTGTGTGGCAAGGGTTCAGCACAATATAACATGTTACTGACAGCAAATCAGACTCTATAAAAGGGTGCTACCACTACTTAATCAAGAACAACAAAAATACACAACTACAGGGAAATTATAAACACTACATACATGTAACTGGAGTTTACAAAAATAAAACTGTACATAAAACATTTTTCGTTGAACTGTACATTTTATATTGGACACCTCTTGATTAATAAATTTAGACTGCAGTTCTGTTGCAGAATGCTGATGAAACTCACTCAATGTTATGAATAGTTTATTGCAGAAAACACACACTGAGTTCATGTTCCAAACACAAAGTGGTCTTAGCAGTCTAGACAACGGAGTTCACACTCACTGAGAAACATCAAAGGAAAAATTTATCTTGGTGATAAAAAGATTGCTATTCACAAAGCAAATCAAAGTAAACCATGAGTTAATGACTGCTCAAAATTTCTACAGCAAATGTGGCCACTATCTAGCACATTTCATTGTAAAATAGACTTGGCTTGTTCATGAACAAACCAATGTTTATACAACATTGTGGCTGTTTAGCATATTCTTACTTATGACTACTTTAACCCTTTAGTCAAGTAGCTAGGTGCAATTATAACTATTAATTTAAATACTTCCGTTACTGATAGAGAAAATAATGGCAATGGACAATATGTTTACCCCATAATGTTGTCACTATCTAGCATATTACATTTTATACACCTAAGTCCCTGCAGCTTTATATGCTATTGCCTTACGAGCAGAGCCTCAATTCAGAAAAGCACCTGTACAGAAATGAGAGTATTTTCTCACTTTTGGGTGTGTGACCATTAAACAGGTTTGTTTGTGGCTCTGTTTGCAAGGTATTTTCCTAATGGTAATTACATGAATGAGGCTAAACCCCTTTGAATTAACTATTACTGAATGTCTGTGATATTGGCAAGTTGTAAAAGGTAGCATGAGTTTCTTACAATATAGGGTTAAAGCAGTACAGTAGGATCCCACCTAAAGGTAAAGCCACCTCATTAATTGGTAATCACCACTGTGTTTTTTGCCTTAAAATCAATGTTGTGAGGTGGCCAACCTTATGAAATTGACTACTCTGTTAACACTAGACTGCAAGCAGCAAGTCTTTTTTCTCTCAGATCCAGGGCTCAAAATAATTTTCTATAAGACTGCACTAAAGCTGAGGAAAATGACGAGGACTGTTCAAAGTCTAGTGAATAACATGAAATTGAAGGATATTTTGAGCAACAGCTGTTTTTTGAGGACACAAACTCCTTAACAACAGGACACAGCTATTCAGTTTTTACCATTTTAACACTAAATGTATAGAAGTCTTCTACAATTTGCAGGGTATTGTCATCATTTACACGTAATCGCCCACACAAACAAGCCAAATAGAACAATGGCTAGCAAACATCTCTGATGTCAAATCCTTATCCAACGATTAACATCAATCAGTGTTATTGGTGTCTGCATTAGCTGAACAAGGCAATAATTTTACCTGATGGATAGAGAACTATTCCATTTTGAAGAATGTGTTTGCTTGGTCGTGAATAACCCCCAAAATGTGATGATTAAAACCAATTTATGTCATAAATAATTATAAAAAGCTGTAAAATTAGAAGGGCAAGTTTCAATCCAGATTCAAATTCAGTAACCACAATGAGCCATGGTTGAATTTTGCAGACTGCAGCCTAATTATAATAGTGGTGGCATTCCTTGGGCAATAATCAGAAGGGATAAAAAAGGTTTTAAAAAAGTCAATAATTATCCACTTTGTACTGTAGTACATTTTCCGCAATCACCAAAACAACTGTTTTGTGCACCACTACAATATTCAAACTTTGTTTCTTTATAAGCCCCCCATGGAGGTGCACATTATTTCTCTGTACATCAAAACGACTAGCTAGTGAATACACTTTACTATTTTGTCTGAGTAAATTTAGAAATAATATTTTTATAACCTTTTTTTTTGTACAAAGTCTGTTTTTTTAAATTTATTGTTAAAGGTCATCATCCTGTGGAAAACAAAAAAAGAAGAGAAAATTACAAAGTTGTCAAAAAAAGTCAAATAGACATCAAAATCAATAGCATTGCATACAGAAGCCACAATACACAGTACAGAAAAAGCAAATACTAAAATGTTACAAGTGGTTGCAGTCTTGTTATCTGCACAATTAAAACTACTGGTCTAATAGCCATGTTACTCAATATTTGAAAAAGAATGATGGTCAGGAACCTAAGAGGCCACATTGAATGGGGTACAAAATAAATTGTTACGGAACAAAACAATGACAGGAATGGCTGCTAAATGCAATGGTTATTTCAGGCTTGACAAGAGGTAACTCACATGACTTGTGTTTGAACATTTTCAGTGATCACTACTGTCCCTTTTGAAAACCCTAAATGGACTTTTCTGGATCATACTCTCAACCCAGGCAATCAGTCCTTCTCAAAGTGAGCTGTTTCTAATACAGTACATCATTTACAGGCTCAGAGTCTTATTAAGGGAACAAATCAAAAGAAATCATACCAAGGTAGAGGGACAGAAATAAAAAGTTTCTCAGGGTTTTCATTCATGCTTTCAGCACGACTTAGGCAATTGCTTTTCAGAGGCGGGCAAAACTTTTTAAAACTGAACTCCGTTACAAGAAAAACGTTCCTCCAGATGGTCAAACCAGGCAGGCAAAATTGGCCTCATAGCTGGTCAATCTGCCTGGTACCCAGCCTTAACTGCCCTGATTTCCTTAGTTTTAGCCCCTAAGCCTGATACCAAGTTAGAATTTTGATCAATCAGGATTTGCCCAATGTACTGATTTTTTGAAATTTTACAGTGATCATTGGAAATAGTACAACTCACTTCTCCTGAACAACAAGCCATTCCTCGCTTCTTAGGAGGTTCTGGCCACGGCACATCTCCTACGAGATCAAGTGAAGGTGTACCATTTTCACCAAATACGTTGAGTTCTGCAAAACACTCCATCTCAATCATCTGTGAATAAACGAGATTGTTCAAATTCGGTCAGACATGATTCAACAAAAAGTACATACATAAACTATTTCAGTCAATGTCACTGAGAGGACATTCAGTGGCCTGTTAAGTGGTTGGACTTGAGGTGACTTACTACCATTCTTGTTAGACTCAATAGCGCCTGCTTGAACTGCAAAAAGAAGCAATCCAGACGGCCAACCCCACGTCCTTGTCGTGGATCTCAGGCAATACCCACAGTCTGAAGCTAACAGAAATCTGGTGAAGGCACAAAGGCCAATTACCATGTGATGGATTTAATGGCGACAGAAACTGAAACTATAGCTACATGTAATTCAACAGATGTCCCCTCCCAAAGGAGCAGAAGGCAAGGTATGACATGCATCCAAGCATGGATGAAGATGTTCTTGTCTAAATCCGTTTTAATATGTACATGTATGAACAGCCCTGGAACAGTCATGGAGAAGCAAAGTAACAAGTGAATTGGAACTACACCATCAAACATAAACAGATTTAGTTGAGAGCTATGGTTGAGGCTCCATGCCTCTTGAGGGACAAAGAGGAGTAAGTCAAGTAACTGGATTGCAAACCAACTGGGTATTCTAGCTTGGATATTTTAAATTACGCATTCAGAAATGCATTTAAACCACCTAAGGCAGATTGAGAAAAACTATGAAGAAAGTCAGATAAACAAAGAACTAATTTAAATTTGTCTTTCTTTATCACATATTTAACATTACCTTGCATGAGCACATACACTTTGATTCCTGCTGGAACCTGTACAATCCTATATTTGAACCAAAATTTCATTTCCTCACAACTTTCACAATTACCTCACTTTGCCAAGGAATTGAAACTGATCCACTTGAAAATTTCCTATAAAATTCTTCATCGCTTTCATCCAAGCGAACCCCCTTCACAGAAGAGAACTGTTCAATGTCTAACACATCTTTGCAGTAGACTGCTCTGGGCTGTGAATGAACAACAACAACAAACATCAGATGCAGATTAAATATCAAAACGTCACACACATGGTATTAAAACAAACTTAAGAAGGTAGGAGGTCAGATTTACAGTATTACGATACTAGAGATACAAAGACTGATGGGGAAAAATGACTCATATATGTAGGCACTGATAGACAGAACTGGACTCTACAAAGAACCTCGGTCTGTTAAGTTGCCACTTGTTAAGTGGCCACCTCCGTACTGTGAAGCGGCCAGTTATCAAAGTCTCAAAATTGTTGTCAGTGTTTGAATACTGAAAATAAAACCCCTATTAACTGGCCACCTCTATTAAGTAGCTGCAGCCCAAAAGAAGGCACAGGACCTGATCAGCTGGAGGAATATTCTGAAAGTCTTGTGTGTCACATCACAAGTAAAGGTCATTCACAATTTGAGCAAATGAAGGGGTACCTGGGATTAAGCCCTAAGTGACTTTTGGAACATTTTGAGTTAGCTAGGATTGAAATACCTCCCAGCAATTTTCTCATTTTACTTTGGTTTCCATTATGTCTTAAAATAACTGGTTCTTATTACTAGTTCTTTTAAAACAACAATTAATACCAGAGTAAACTGTGAAAATTGCTGGGAGGTGTTTCAATCGAAACTACCTCGAAATTTTCCAAAAGTCACTTATGGCTTTATTTCAGGCACGCCTTCAAATGTTCAAGACAAACACAGGAGAATACATGTTTAATCTTGTTAAAAGGATTGTTAGAAAAACAAAAGGAATATAAAATGTTGTACAAATCAAAATGTTTGGCAATACTTCAAAGTTAGATTGAAATGATGAATTGTGGAGAAATGACAGGTATCTGTTTCTCTGTTTAACCCCATTATGTGACTAATATAAATCTGGCTTGTAGGCCATCGCCACAAAAGTCTTCTTGCGCAGCAAATTCTAAAGCCAGCTCACCCAAAATTACCCATCACACTAATCATCCTGGAAAAAAAAAATTATTTGTTAATGAAAGAGTGCTTTGTTTCATGAGACCTTTCATAAGAATAGTAAAGAAAAACTTACATCAGGTACAAATGGAGGTTTGAACATTCCAGCTTCCAGCTGAGGCCAGTTAATATTTCTAAAGAAAATATGTTTCTTTACGTCCTCTCCACCTGCATCGCTGCAACCTAGTCTGTTATTTACTTCCTTTTGAAGAGCCTAGGAAAAAAATGGATAGAATGAATAGAGTTAAACAAGATTTGTGGTGAATTGCAAATGTTGTGGTTTAATTTTCCTCTGTTCTGGTGTATGGTAAAGAAATTATTTTAATATAAATGAAACAAAGAAAAATAGCAAAATTAACTGTACCAAGGGTAATTTTGAACCACAACACAAACATTATACACATCAACTTGTGAATAATACATTAGCTCCTATTAAGTACAGGGCTTGAAGAAACTTGAATTCTAGCTTGCCCTTTGGTCAAGCAGCTCTCAAATTTTGCTTGTCCTGGGCAAGTCTTAGTTTACTTTTTTATTTATTTGAAAGACTACTTGCTTGGGCTCTTGGCCGAATGAAAAGTTACTTGCCCAGCAGGAAAATCTACTTGTCCCGTACGACCAGATGGCAATTATTTCAAGCTCTGTAACTATTGCCAACGTACATCTCTTGATCAATAGGTATGACCTCTTATTTTTTTCCAAAGGGCACGGTAAAGAGTTGGTTACTGTAACATGTGCACATGCCACCTCCTGTTTCTCCAAGGGTGGCTGCTTGATAGGGGTTTGCTGTAGTTTCAACATAACACACCTGACTACATATTAGTCTCGCAGATGAACTGAATTTGTCCGAGTACACCTCCTGATCTTCCTTCACTCTCCGCTCCACCTCATCTCTCTTCACCTTCTCTTTTCTTGCTCTGAATGGAGACTGAAACGACAACATCAAAAAAGTGAATTCAATGTACGACAATTGGGACAATTATATGAACAAGGCAGTGTTGCAAACTGAACATTGACAAAAGGCGAAGTGATGGAAGGCAGACTGGCCATTTGGTAGTTCATTTTACCATGGTTGAGCAGGGATGTTATTAAGGACAAGTAGCTGGCTGAAATAGCCGGCTAATTTGTTTTACTTTATTTTCTACATTTTGCAGGTGTTTTTAATAAAACAATTATTTGACTCATGCTTGTTGGATATGAGATGAGTATAACCAACTCATCACTACACTCCTTGTTGGCTATCTGTCATCTCATATCCAACACACGCTCTGGCATGGAATAATAATTATTGTCAAAGTGTGCCCTTATTTATGACATGCACAATAGTGAACTTTAGACTGATACCAATACTGAACTGAAGATTTTTTAAAATGATTTATTAGTAATTTCAGAGAATTGTTACCAACCTTTCCTTGAATCATCTCATATATGAGACAACCTAGTCCCCACCAGTCTGGCGAAAATGTGTAGCGTTCATTTTTAACAACCTCTGGAGCTGCAAGACATGTCAATAAATTGAAATGTTGAATGTTTTGTTGTGCTGTTAAGACTGATTAACTCTAAATTGGTTTAGATTAACAACCACTGAATTTTTTGAGTGTTTTAAATAGCACCCTTTACGGTAACCAATATCACCTACCCATGTAACCTATTGTTCCTACTCTCCCTCGTATCGTCTCTCCATTCTTTATTTGAACAGCTAAACCAAGATCTGAGATTCTGACATGACCATAATCATCTAAAAGGAGATTTTCTGGTTTCATATCTCTACAAGGAAAGACACAAAGCCAGCAAGTGAACACAAAATAATATTGCAACAATTTGTCAGGTCATAATTTGACTGGACGAGATAACATTTTGACTCCCACCAAAAGTGCCTGATTTTGTGACTTAATTAATATGGGCAACACAGGGGCAGGACAGAGTGTTTGTAGCATGGAGTTGTCTGAACTTTGATTTTCAGATGAAAATGAATTTGCAGATAAATGTACAATGTACTGTTCTTTGGAAAAGAATGTACAGGTGAAACACATTAACTTTTATACAAATTAATCACACTAAAACTCATTTTGACATGGTGGTGACTGGAAAATGAGCTAGTCTGGTTTCTCCAGACCATGTGAATTGTCTTAAGTGTCTGAGGAGAGAGGTTTGACCATCCTTGCAACTGCATAATGTACTTACAGTGTTCTGTTTTGCACACTAAGAATTCAAAGGCAATAGAATGACTGCATGAGTAGTACCAAATTTGAATATCAATAGAAAACCTTAGCCTTGTGCTATGTTCCGCGAAGGATTTCTGGAATCAATATAAGGCTCAAGCTTCTAATGTTTGGCGCCATTTCTGCAATCTGTGAATACATGTACCTGTAGACTATTCTCTTTGAATGTAAATGAATTAATCCTAACATGACTTCTGCAGCATAAAATACAGCTCTTTCTTCTTCAAAACCAGGATTTCCCATGTTGTGGACATGGAACTTAAGATCTCCACCATTCATTAGAGTTAAAACCATACAGAGGGCATCTTTGGTTTCATAAGCGTATGCTAGACTGACCTTCATAAGGCAAGAAAATGTAATGATTAGAAACACCAGTCACACAGTATGTTGCACATGTATATATACAACTTTAAATAGTTGCACAAAATGATAACAAAAAATGGGTTATGCAATAGTACAACCATGTACACTGTACCATATATTTTGTTAGTTTTTTTTATAAATTCTGGGTGTTCAGTTAATCTCAGCATTATAGGACCTGGCATTAGTTTTAAGCTATCAGTGTAACAAATAGATTCCATGTTGCTGTATGTCTGTTCAGCAACAGATCACAGACAATGTCAAAATGAGGTAAGAACAAAACAGTGGCAAGTGAGCCATCAGCTGAGTGTGCCACTGATGTTCTTGCCACATGTCATCTGTGATCTAGCTACATCGTTGTATCACTGTACAGATGCATAGCAACATGGAATCTACTTGTTTTATATAATTAAAACAATAACAACAACAACAAAGATGCTAATGATGCCATCTGAGTCTGTCCTCTGATAGATGGAAAGTAAGAGCCAATTAAAACTCTACAAATATTCAACATATTAAATCCGCACGTATTCAGTGTACTTACTTCTTAAGCATGCATAAAAAAAGTCATTTTAGTTTGCAATGAGCTCATGCAATATTCAATCAGCTTGGAACTAGTGGAACAATGATGCCAGAAGAAATTTGCTAAAAGCTACCAAGATGAATGCAAGCAGCAAGAACAACTGATTTCATGTTGATGTGTAACAAAAAAAAAAAAAAATAAAATAAACAATAAATTATGGACTGCATGTAAATTATTTCAAAATGGTCATCAAAACCTTAATAAAAAATAGTCAGAACTACCAACCACAAATCTGCTGTCAATTTTTTCTAAGAGCTGTTTCTCATTTAATGCCATGGCCTCTCCTTTCCTTCTCTTTATCCGCTTCTTCTCTAGCTTTTTCATTGCATACATTTTCCCACTGATCTTGCTTTGACATGCACAGACCTGCAATCAAAATAATCCAAAAACAGTCTCATCAGATTTTCAGAAGAGAGCAAGTTTATTAATCTGTGTTTGCCCTTTACAACAAAATGTCATTTACCTCTCCAAATCCACCTTTCCCTAACACTCTGTAGTGACGGAATGTCTTCTTTGTGACAGGCTGTCTGTGAGAAAATAACACAGCTCAGGTTTAGAATTTACACTACAGGATCGATTTTATATGATTATTCTACAAATTCTTTAATAATTCTTGTACAACCTTCCTAGTATTCCTTTATGATCCAAGCCATCTAAGATCTTACATGATTAACATAAATCATACATATTCTGGTCAAGTAGATCAACATTGTTCTGGGATTTTAAAAACTTTTATCTTTACAAAAACTTGAAAACAATATATAGTTTAAGATATATAAAAAAAATGCACTCATCAACCAAAAATTGCACCAGAAAACAATTTTTGTAAATGTATAGCTGGAGTTCAGTTGAATCTAATGCATGCTGTTATTGGTAGATTTATGGTCATGAGGCAATGGCTCAATCTAAATATCGCCAAGTGGGCAACAATCACACAATTGCTGCCTGCTCTCCCACTAACCAGAGGCTACTTTGACTTCTTTGTGTCCGACTACTTTACACAAAACTCCAGCTATATATCTAACAAAACACTTAAGTCCCTTCGGAAACAGTTTAATTTGTTTTCTGTTGAATCTCCATGTTTCCCCCAACATCACAATTCTTGGGAAAATAAAACTACCTGTCTTCCTCAGGACCAGTAATAAAGTGTATAATTTTTTTCATATAATTTTGAGAAGCATAGATATTAAAATATACCAGAGTAAATGTCACTAAAATTAAAGTTCTCTTGTCAGGTTAAATTGCAACAACATGGTAATTTTTGTCTGTTAATTTAATTAATAAAATTGTAATAATCTACAATCTTGGACAGAATAAAACGGAACAATTATCCCCCATCCCCCCCAAAGCAATGATGAAGGCGCGAAGGAGCAAAAGCGCGCCATAAAGACAAGTGCATGATGCAAATCTCATTTGAATTACTACCTTTGAGCTTTCTTTTCAAAATCTAGCTTCAAAGTTTCATTCATTAAACGAGCTACGGTTTTGCAACTTGAAAAGNCCCCCCCCCCCCCCAAAGCAATGATGAAGGCGTGAAGGAGCAAAAGCGCACCACTTTGGCATCATTGAAATGGAGGGGGGAGGGGTGGTCCAGATGTTCCGTTTATTTGTCCAAGATTGCAGGTACTGAAGCTTTCAGTTTCTAACAGGGTACAATTGGCACAGAATTGAGGAAAAAGAAAATCTACAGTGTGCAGATATTCTGTGTCCGTAAAGCGAGGGTAACTTTGAATGACAGCATTTTACTTCAGTCACAGAAAAGTGCCCATTGTCCATATTAACTGGTATATGTATTAAGCATGTTAATGTGAAAGAAAATGTATGAGGTTTTCATCAGGACAAACAAATTTCTCTGTTTTAAGTGGGTGTCTGAAAAGCGGGCTAGTAATTGATTCTATTAGCCTATTAACAACCATTACCAAACTGTACCAAAGATTAATCATCAGGGCTCAAAATAACTTTCGTACCGTGGCTGGTCATGTTGACTGGCCAAAGTAATTTTAGCTCGGTCACGTCTCCTTTCTGACCGGTCAAGATATTGAATAAAAGAGTAATGTTGGCCTAATTAAACCCACGAATATAACTTGTTTGTTCCAGTCATTGCTAGACCGTTTAAAAATTTAATACAAAGAGAAGCTTAAAACTCAAACTGAAGATAGCCTCGGCAGGGCTCAGCAGCTCAATGAAGTGGCATGGTGCCAGTGGAATTCTTGGTATCTGCCAAAGAAAAAGTATTAAACGGATGCATATTTGATGAAACTTTGAATTTTTTTATCGGTATATTGCAAATTGAATTCCATGAGCTGTTGTCTTGATGTTCTACAAAGTATTTATGTCCATCAAAACGTAAATGAAACCAAACTCGCATCAGCAGATCTTATTTTTGGGCTTCAGAAATAACTGGGTAAACAAATATAGCCGAAGAAGGAGTTTCTGTTTCCTCGATTCTCACCCATGCAGACGCACAACAAATCATCGTGTTACTACGAATACGGCTACAGTTACACGACAAGTGTTGGGAAGTTTCTTAATGATGTGACTAAAATTAAGTTCTAAAGTGTAAGCCATAAAAAATCTAAACTCTATTGTAGTCATATTAGAGAGAGGGTGCCTGCCATTATGCCAAACCAACTGGTCAGAGATCAATGGGAATACCTGACAAAAATGGAACGACGTCTTCCAATTAAACCAGACCAGCCAATGGGAATGGCTCTTATCATTTTTTATTCCTTGTCCGGATTCCCTAATAAGGGCAAAGAACTGGTTTGTCAAAAATGGAACAGCGAATCGGTCAGAATATTCCAACTGAAATAAGTGGACCACCTCCAGAGGTGATCCCGAACATTCCAGTCGGAAGAAACCGGAATGGACCTTTCCATTTGAATTCCGACCGAAATTTCCGGAATCTTCAGCACGACCATAATTTGGTAGATTTTACAACTAATAGTGGGTAGATTTTAGTCACATGCTAAGCAAAGAGTTGAGAGTCTCTCGTATTTCATTCACAGACAAAATATAAACTTTACAGATACAGCTGATAAGGCCTTCGTCTTTTTTGTTGGTACATAGTTATTTTCATCCGTCTTGTAAAAGCAACTTTTATCGGTTGGTTCTAAATTAGATACTGGGTTCGTGCTCAATGTTACATTTATGGCTTGATAGAAACGAAGCAGACTGCAAAATACATGTTTTGATGTCCCAGAGTCCCAAAATGTCTGAGTTGGAAACAACTTGACAATCAAGGGAAAAGTTTTGTTCTGGCATCTTGCTTTATGATTTTTGCTCAGTGAAAGTGAAAGAAACGTCAAATATCTTGACATCTGTAGAGCAATACCTTTGGATTATACGCCAACAAAGAGAAGTGTTCTGTGACAAGAGTGTGACAGTTGGGCAAATCTAAAGCATCACGAAAAGCTGAATCTACTTTCCCTTTGCGGTACGGAAAACCTCTTCTGTTCGAAAGGCTGAATAGTTTTGAATTCTGAATTGAAAACCTCTGCCATCCTAACAGATGAAAATTTTTTTCTGAATGGATAACAGCAGTTGTTCGAATGGATAAACATTTTTCTCAAGGGATAACCCCAGCTGTTCGAATGGCATTCCTATCAATCTTGAATGCATGACAAACAGCAGGCAAACGATTTTTAGACGAACAGATACCCATTGGTGTATGTTTTTGTGTGAGAGGTCATAATAAAAAAGAGATTAAAGATCTAAGATTTACAGATTAGGATTTACTTGTTTATTCAAGAATGAACAATCTGACCGTCTCAACATGACGTGACCGGTCAACATGGCCGGCAAGTGAAGGTTTTGGCCGGTCAAGTCACCATTCTGCCTGGACATTGCCCGTTGACCAGCCGTTTTTTTGAGCCCTGAATCATCATCCTTATCAATAGGGTGATATGACACCAATAGTGCAAGGAAGGACATAAAAGTTTCAAAAATATGAAAATCTCATGAATATCAGTTCATAATTAATAGGGGGAATGGTTATGAATCCTGGCAAATGTCAAAGGAGCAAACAAAGATGCCAAGATTCATGTTGGAAGGTTCATGACCGTGCACAATCTTTTGTTTTGCATTCATTTACTATGCATGAATTATGTAACCAAAACGTTTCTATTGGTTAGTTCTTCAGTCAAAAGTAAACAACTATTGTGTTTTGTGCACGGTCAAGGCCAAAAAAGCGAACAAAAACATACAACAAAGAACTTTGTTGGATTTCACAACCAATCCCCTCTATTAACTTTGAACAATTATAGATGAAGGAATATGGGTTCATACTAATTTATTTGCATGAACAGTAGACCTAAGCTGCAATGTGACTTAATGGGTCAGTTCCGCATGCACAATCAATCAAGTGGAAAAAGTTTTGAGTGCCACATTCTTTTTGTAAGTTACCATAGTAGTAGTAATTTTTATAATAATAAATGACAATTAAAATTATCATATTAATCACAGTTCCTAAGAAATAGAAAAATAGAATTATACAGTTCAAGGTAAATATAAAATTTATAATTAAACTATAACAATGTCAACTATATGGTCTTTCATATATTAACATGGAACACCAACTAAATTAAAATAATATACATGTATTATATTAGCACATTACTATAAAATGTTGCAAAAAAAGGAAATTACTGTAAGTACCTTTCAAGCCACTTCCACTGAAGATACCTGGAGAAGTACATACTTTGTTGGTAATCTTCAAAAGGCTTTCCACCCAAGAAATCTTTGACTTCCCTGGAAGAAAAATTGAGAGGTTGGATTAGACATAGTTGCTTTGTTTAATTTTATGGAATGGATTACATGTAAACCAGTGTTCTCAGATTCTTGCTTCATTACGATCCAATGGACTTAAAGCTATTTTTTCTTAATGGCTCCATGTATCTAAGAGCTACCCACTTTTAGTCAAGCAGGGCTGTCATTAAGAACTATAACATGTAACGCCTGTTATGGCTGAGGGTGCTCCATGGAGCCTTCATGTTATGGGTGTTATTGCCCTATACAATTTACCCACAAAGTTCTACTTAAGAGCCACTACCTCTAAATATATATAGAGAGAACTAATAACAAGAGATAACCAAGGAAATCAAGGCAAATTTCCTTCTTCCTGTACTGGCCTGTTGAAAATGCACAATTTTGCATAAATTCCATCGGCCACCTTGGTTGATTTCAAGCGGTATCAAACTTTCCTAGATTTTCACAAATAAGTGAACTTGCTGGAACTTTTACCGTATATTTCTGAAAATAGTTTACCAAAAGTGTCTTTTTGACGTAATAAAAGAAAATGCCAATTTTCCATCACTTGGTCAGATTTTCCATTTTAAAGTGCCTATGAAGTAAAAAATAATCACTGCTGATTTGAAAGGTTTTTCAGAGTAAAGAAAAATGGCGTTTTCCTTTTTGGAATACCTTTTTGCGGTTTAGAGATATTCATGTTTTTGTATTTTGAGTGATGACGTCATAGGTGGTTCCACAAAAACAGTTCAACACTCAATCAAGAATATCAAATCAAATCAAACCAAATCAAAACTTTATTTATTGAGGGTGACACGTAATAGTTTATCAACTAATAAATTTGTGGCCCTCTTAAATGTACTAAAAGTTAAAAATCTACTATAAACAATAATCAAAGATTATCACTAAAATATTGCAATCTAAAAATTATTTAAAAAAGGAGTAAAAATCTTATTCTTGAGCTGACTTAATTTAAAATGTTTGTACAAAGCATTCTTAAGGATATTTACAGATGAAGAGGCGCGCAGCTTAAGGGGGAGGTGATTCCAACATTTAATAGTCGTTGCAGAAAACGTGYGACCTCCCTCTTTCGCTCTATTAAATCTTATCGGTAAAATGGTAAAATTAGYSCCCCRTGTATTCCTATTGTGCTGGCTGTTATTTAGTCTTAATAAATCGTTTATGTATAACGGGCAAGCACCCATAATCCTTTTATGAGCTATTGTACATCTTTTTATATCAGTCTCGATGTAATATGGTACCTATCCTAAGGTATTAACTAGATCCACAGTGCTATGGCGTTGTTGGGCATCAAGGATAATACGAGCACGTTTTTGCAGCCTGAATATCTTACTTATGTTGTCGTGGCTGCAGCAGCTTGTCCATGTTATGCTGCAATATAATATCAATGGCTTAATTAATGAACTGTAATAAAGTATACGGTCTGCTCTTGGAAGATAAGCCTTGATTCTGTTGAGTATACTGATACGCTTCAATATCTTCTTACATAAAGAGTCAATATGAATATCGAAACCGAGTTCTTCATCAAGTTCAAGGCCTAGCAGTTTAACATTCTCAACCTGCTCTAATGTGCTTCTTTCGAGCTCTATCTCAAGCTTTCGACCTTCATTACTCAAACGTTTCCGTAAGCACAGTCCATCAATTAGCATTGTCTTTGTCTTGGAACAATTAAGTGGCAGTTTGTTGTTAGTTGCCCACTCATTGACATTGGAGACCTCACTGGAGAGTGTGTTCTTAAGTTCTTCAACATTAGCACAATCGGAAGAAGTGAGGAGGGTGGTGTCATCGGCAAACATGTCCAACTGTGTGTGGACATGTAAAGGTAAGTCATTGATAAACAGCAAAAAAAGTAAGGGACCCAATATGGAACCCTGTGGCACACCCGCTGTGATACTCCTCACGGTAGACGTTTCTACTTTGAATGATACCAACTGAGTTCGATCGGTCAGGTATGACTCGAACCAAAGTAAAGCGTTCCTATCTAGTTTGTAGGCTTCAAGCTTGCAAAGCAAAGTCCCATGATCCACCATGTCAAAAGCCTTCTTATAGTCTACTAGAACCATACCATTAATATGGTTTTTGTCTAGATTGAAGAGCAGAGTATCAACTATATAAGCAAGCGCCGTCTCCATGCTGTACTGCTTTCTGATTCGAGACTGGTTCTTATAGATGAGGTCGTGAACATTTAGATATTCAGACAAATGGTCATGCACATGACGTTTGATGATTTTAGACAGCACCGGAAGTAGTTACGCTTTGCTCTTGTAATCATATTGGTGGCCTGATTTCGCGTGCCGCGATACCTTGCCCATGCGTCAGTGGTGTTACATGCCCTAGCTTTTCTCAGAAGGGTGTCTCTTTTTGACAGCTGATCTAAAATGTCCCTCGTTAACCATTGCGGTTGCCTAACTTTGTGAACCCATTTGTGCACGATAGGTGCGTGTAGATCAACTGCCTGTGAAAATATATCTTCCCAAGCGGCCAGAGAGTCATTTACATCATCAAACACAAAGGCGGTGTCCCAAGGGGAGTTGGCAAGAGTAGATATGAATGCTTTGTCATCAATGCCTTTTATGTTTCGGTACTTAATTGCTTTGTGCTCTTGCTTGTCTTGTTTTGATTGTTTAAAATATTTCCGCACCGCAAAAGTTGGTAGATGGTCTGAAAGAGCATAACTTAGCACCAACACATCCATAATATCTCTAAAAATATTAGAGCAGTGTTCTTTAAACTTGGCACCAGAAATGTACATCACAAAAGAAACAAAATGACACCCATCGCGCCGTCGCCATGACAACAGTTATACCGCTGGTCCTGTTTTAATTAAAACTAAAATTCCCAGATTTTATCTTAACAAGGATCATCCACTCCCAACAATCTGATGGGGAGAGTTAAGACAATATCGGAACCACGTGTGTTCCGAGCAAGACCCTCTGTCCCTTCTCAAAGGGTTGCAAATGGGTATATTTGGTTTTTCGCAGAAAGAGACTGGAGCCAGAAGTGTTGCTATGGCAACAACACAGAAGGTGTCATTCTGTTTCTTTTGTGATGAATGTTTCTGGTGCCAACTTTGAAGAACACTGCTCTAATATTTCTAGAGATATTCTTGATTCGGTGTTCTACTGTTCAAGTGAAATGATTTATGGCATCATCACTTTCCTCATTTGCATAGTACAAAAATGTAAATATCTCTAGAATGAAAAAAGATATTCCATAAAGGTAAATGCCATTCTTCTTTACTTTGCAAAGCCTTTCAAATAAGTAGCAATTATTTTTTACTTCATAGGCACTTTAAGATGATGTGGCTCTTAACAAGTTTGTTACGGGTGTGAAAATGAAGGCAAAGGTGACTCAAAACTTTATCACAGCCCCAGTCAAGGCCCTAACATTTATTTCAATTTATTCCAAATACCTGACAGCATCCTTAAAAATTTCCATAGAAAACTCTTCATCAGCTGATTTGGACACTGCATTTATTGTCTTTTCTGCTGTGTCATCCATAACACCAGCCACTCTAAGCTGTGTTGTGGGCTCAGAGTGCTAGAAATAGGAAAAAAAAAGAAGCATACACTTACATCTTTCATCTTAAATTGAGAGTCTTACTTTGACCAAGTGGTCTGCATATGTTGTAGGAGGGGGGTGTAAGGGTTTGCGGTGATGCAGTTTTGTGTTATTTTTAATGCGGTTTTACGGAAATCCTTATTTTAACCTGCGGTATTGCGGTTTTATAAGACTTAGCGGTGTGCGGTTTTCATAAATTTTGGATCGCAGTAATCGGTAAAAAGAGACTGCAGCCGTCTGCGCTTTCCAGTTATAAACAATTATTGGATGAGGTTTTTGTGATATCCAGAATAATCAAGGTCAAGGTAGGGGTTATCAGCCAAAGGCTGAGGCTGGTAACCCTTACCGAGACCTTGATTATTCTGGATATCACAAAAACTGAATCTAATAATAATTATTAGATTCGGTTTTTGTGATATCTAGAATAATCAAGGTCTCGGTATTATTGTTTTATTATACATTGAATGAAAGAAACGGAAGTCTTGTTTTTGCTTCTTTACTGACAGCAAGCAACACAAAGCGTGCGAACTTGACATGATTACCCATGACCTTGAGTGTCCTTGACATAATTATTGTATAATCTGCAGAAATGATGTCACAGGCGCTGATTTCGAAAATTCACTGTACACTTTCGGCCAATCAGAAAAGAGATAGTGAGTTCAATGTATAATAA